TAGGGTTTCCTCTGGGTACTCCGGTTTCCTCCTACACTCCAAAGACATGCTGGTAGGTGAATTGGATCCTGTCTAAATTGTCCATAGTATGTGTATGTATGAATGTGAGTTAGGGACCTTAGATTGTACGCCCCTTGAGGGTTAGGGACTGATATGAATGTACAATATATATGTAAAGCGCTGTATAAACTGACAGAGGTATATAAGTACCTGAAATAAATAAATAAATAAATATGATCTCCATGTCTTAAAGGGCCGGGAGGCAGTGGCGAGAAGTAAAATACAAGATATTTATAGTAGCCCCTTACTGCTGCTTCCTGCTGCTCCTTTAAAGGGTTCTTTACTCCAGAGGCCAGTAGGTGGGCTCCTGATTGGGTGACCACTGTGAGCGGCTGGTTGGGAGACTGACCTACCCTACTGTAAACAGTGATCGGGAGCTGTCAATTATTATTATACAGTATTTATATAGCGCCAAAAGGTTTGCCCAGCGCTGTACATTATAGTGGGGGACAGTACATGAGACAATACAGTAACAATACAATACACGAGGGGTTCGAGGGCCCTGCTCTTTCGAGCTTACAATCTAGGAGGGAGGGGATAGTGGTACGGGAGGAAGTGGCTGTGGGTGATGGAGTGGTAGGAGGAGTGGAGGAGATCGGCTGTTAGGTGAGGGTGGGGTAGGCTTCCCTGAAGAGATGGGTTTTCAGGGTGCACCTAAAGGTGAGGAGGGTAGGTGACAGTCTGATGGATTGGGTTAGTGAGTTCCAGAGGATGGGGGAAGTCCTGGAGAAGTCCTGCAGTCGGGTGTGGGAGGAGGAGACCAGGGAGCTAGAAAGTAGGAGGTCTTGTGAGGAGCGAAGAGTACGTTTTGGGTGGTATTTGGTTATCAGGTCGGTGAGGTAGTTTGGGGCAGCGTTATGAATTGCTTTGTATGTCAGCATTAGTAGTTTGAATTTAATGCGTTGGGCAATCGGGAGCCAGTGGAGGGAATGACAGAGGGGGGTGGCAGAAGCAGAGTGGTTGGTAAGGTGGATGAGTCTGGCCGCTGAGTTCAGGATAGACTGAAGCGGGGATAGCCTGTGTTGGGGTAGACCAGTGAGTGAGGGGGGAGTTGCAGTAGTCCAGACGTGAGATAATAAGGGAGTGAATGAGTTGTTTAGTAGTGTCTGGGGTTAGGAACAGACGTATTTTGGAGATGTTGCGGAGGTGGAGCCTGCATGAGTTTGCCAGCGATTGGACATGGGGTCATGCTGGGTGTGTATGAACATGTAGCCTCATCATACTGTCACATCGATACATGCGTTTCGCAGAAGCAACAAGGTAAAATATTTTATATTTACGTGACTGAAAAAATATTTTGTTTCTACATTTTTTGAAGAATTGTAATTTCTGATCATTATAAAAAAAAGGAAAATATATACAAGGCCTCTATCCCTTTAAGCCACATATTATTCATGCTATAGTCTACTATGATGTCATAATTCCCATCTCTGTGGGTCTTTAGTGTTAATATTCTCTCATTGTAATGTGCATTCATCCTTTACCCAGGGGGTGAAGGGGAAAACAATGCAACGCCCATAACTCTGGAATGTGATGGATTACACAATAAGACTTTATTAAAGTGGAAATAAAATCACCCCAGGACCGAGTTCTTACAATATGACAAAGGTCTACTTGGGACATTCCTCCCACCTAGATACGGATGCAGAACCCTGAACTGGAGCTTCTATTTTCTATTACAAACATTTTTTTTTTAGGGAAATGACATCAAGAACAAATGACCTTGGTCATGGCAGACACACAGCGCTGCACCTGCTATAAATTACAGAAAAATCCCAGACTTCTTGTTACATTCTGTGAGGGTTCCCATCACCCAAGATTAGGATTCGATTTTTGTGTTGTAATATCTTAACAAAACAATAATGGCAAGCTTTCTTTATCTACAGTGCCGGAAACCCACACATCCCCTTAATCCGAGCTTAAACTAAATCTGCCAAGTCTTAGCTGACTCTGAGACAAGGCGAGGAGGTCACCAATGGGCCACCTGGTCAGAGGAGATTTACAGAAAAAGTGGGATATAAAAGCTTTAAGCAGAACTCTAGCCTAAATAATGAAATAAAGTTAGTACACCACAGGGGCGGACTGACCATTTGGAAACTCGGGCACTGCCCGAGGGCCCAGGGTCAGTAGGGGGCCCCATGAGATGACCATGGTACCTTTTTCATAGGCTTTTTTGAGTTTGGGCAAGGACACAGGGGCCCCATGATCTCCTATTGCCTGGGGGCCCCATGAGTTGTCAGTCCACCCCTGGTACACCATTAAAAGGAAAAGGAAAAAAAAAGAAGCTTTTCCTGTAATACTCACCTTTATTTCAGAGTTGTCCATGCAGTAATTCCTTTTTGCCACTAGATGTCACCAGTATTCTGGGTTTGAATGATAGCCAGTGTCATTCCACATAGGCTGTCATGGAAACACCCCATGTGGGGCGGCATCATCATAGTTCTTAGCTGACAGGAGTGGCACCCAGTGTCGTTTTCTGCTGCTGTAGCCCATCTGCTTCAAGGTTCGAGGTGTTGTGCATTCAGAGATAGTATTCTTGGTTGTAACGAGTGGTTATATGAGTTGCTGTTGCCGTTCTATCATCTTGAACCAGTCTGCCCATTCTCCTCTGACATCAACAAGGCATTTTCATCCACACAACTACCGCTCACTGGATATTTTCTCTTTTTTGGACCATTCTTTGTAAAGTGTAGAGATGGTTGTGCGTGAAAATCCCAGGAGATCATCAGTTTTTGAAATACTCAGACCAGCCTGTCTGGCACCAACAATCATGCCATGTTCAAAGTCACTTCAATCCGCATTCTGATGCTCGGTCTGAAATTCAGCAAGTTGCCTTCACCACATCTACATGCTTAAATGCATTGAGTTGCTGCCATGTGACTGGATGCTTGGATTGGATGATTAGCAATTTGTGTTACTAAGCAATGGAACAGATGTACCTAATAAAGAGACCAGTGAATGTATAATATGTATATATGTACAGGGGCAGACTGACCATTTGGAAACTCGAGCATGCCCGAGGGCCCGGGGTAAGTAGGGGGCCCCATGAGATGCCCCTGGTACCTTTTTCATAGGCTTTTTTTTGAGTTTGGGAAAGGACACAGGGGCCCCATGATCCCCTATTGCCCGGGGGCCCCATGAGTTGTCAGTCCGCCCTGTATATATATATATATATATATATATATATATATATAGTGCCTTGAAAAAGTATTCATACCCCTTGAAATTCTTCACATTTTGTCATGTTACAACCAAAAACGTAAATGTATTTTATTGGAATTTTATGTGATAGACCAACACAAAGTGGCACATAATTGTGAAGTGGAAGGAAAATGATGAATGTTTTTTTTTTTTTTTATGTTTTTTTAACATTATACAATTTTCTTGAGAATTTTGCTTTAGATTTACCAAAAACCATATAATAGAAAGTCAAACCTAACAACACTTTCAATTGTATCCAATTATCAGGCTCTTGCACTACATAGTTGAAGGCAAATCTAAAGGAAACCGGGCAGAATATGGACAGAAAATTGTATAGTGTATGGCCAGCCTAAGTTCCATGATATTGATGTTCAGCAGAGTGAACTCATCTTGCGGAAACTCCTTTATGATGCCTAATAAAATCCCCAAAAGGTCATCCGAATTCAAGAGGGTTTTCTGTTATGATATGTTATTGTGAGAATATTTTATTTCAGTATGGTTTATATTGTTTATGTTTCTAGCCACATGGAGAATAAAGTACTCATTAAAAGGGAGAACAAGTGTTTTTGAGAAATGGAATTAAACTCAGGCCGAGAGAGGGGCCTGAGTACTACCAAGAGGTCATGCAGCAATTACATACCACTTAGGTGTATTCTTTTATTACCATCTTCAAATGTGGTTATGGTTATGATAATGTTCACTATGCATCTGATACACTGCAGACGATATCCATTATTTTTATAGTTTACGTTCAGTTCTATGATCATACAGCATGTAATATAGAACTCTAGAGGTAGATTACTGCTTAAAACTATGTTATTGTCTGCAGGTCTGTGGATGTTGTTTGTAAAAAGTATAAAGCCCAACTCCAGGCCAGGGGCGGACTGACAACTCATGGGCCCCCCGGGCAATAGGGGATCATGGGGCCCCTGTGTCCTTGCCCAAACTCAAAAAGCCTATGAAAAAGGTACCAGGGGCATCTCATGGGGCCCCCTACTAACACCGGGCCCTCGGGCAGTGCCCGAGTTTTCCAAATGGTCAGTCCGCCCCTGCTCCAGGCTCTTCTTTTCTCAAATAGTTCACTAGCAAGGTCTTAGAACAACACAAAAACAGTTCTGGCTGCAATACTCTTGTAGGCGGGGGAGCAGGTGATGATGGATATTTCCTCCATATTTCCCATGAACTCACTGGGCGCCAAATGTGGGTTGCATGAAAGGACTGCCTCTGGGGTGGGTTCTTGTGGGCTACGCTAGGCACCTGTAACAGGGTCATTCTCCTTGCACATAGGGTACCTTTTATCTGTTCCGTTTCCATCAATGCTCAGGGACAGGGCTGAGGCCGCCGTCGGGGAATACTCAACCTTAAGGCGGGCCTCTGCTTTTAGAGGTGAACGTACACTGGGTACACTTGCACTATAACTGTCCTCCAGTTAGCTCTTGGGTCCCTGTGTCAAAGTACACCTTCAATGTAACTTGCATTTAGGAGAGACATGCTGAGGCTGTGTCCACTTTTACCAATCCAGAGCTCTCCACTACCTTACTACCAGTAGAGTAATGGAACCCCACCGTGCACCTAGAATGGGCTCCATGAGTGCACTTAACTCTGGACTTCCCACACCTCTGTACAGGATAGGGAGCTTGGTTATGCTAATCTTCTCCTGTTGCTTTGGGAGACAGACTGCTGCGAAAGGAGTGCTTTAACCTCCCTGGTGGTATTCCCGAGTGTCGCTCGGGGTAAAGTTTCAGTACCACAAGTGGTAACCCTGAGCTACACTCGCGCTTACCATGTGGCGCTTCTCCGGGATCCCTTGATCACTTACCTTGTCCTGTGCTCCCGCGATATCCCTCCTGCAGTGTCCCCGGCAATGTCCTCCGGTGGATGCCGACATCTGTCTTCTGGGTTCACCTGCGAGCATCAGGACATACGGGGACGGAACGGTGGGAAATTTGAAAATGACAAAAAGTGACATTCACTAAATTCACTAAAATCACATAGTATAACATTCCTGTATCAAACCATTTCACATACATTTTGTTCCCGAGTGCTTTGTCCGGCGCCCTGCCTGCATTTTTACTGTTCTTTCTGCCTGGAAACTGAGAAATGTCCATGGTGTCCAAAAAGCGTCCCTTTAGGTCAAAAGCGGTTTTAGACCAGCTAGAGAACAGCGATAGTAAATTAGAACCACTTGCAGAATTGAGTGATAATGATTCGTGGGGGAAATTCCTCATCAGACACTGAAAACGATTCTGCGACTTTGCTCAGTGATGTGCGAACTTGGCGCTATATTTCAAATTTCAGTGTTTTTGGTTTGATTATATTATTGAATTAAATCTATTATTATTATATTATTATTTTTTATGATTATTTATTAAATTATAATTTATGATTTCGTGTTTCAAGTTTTATCATACCCGGGATTAGAGATGAGCGAATCGAACCAGGCGAACCGGAATTCGAGTCGAATTTCAGGAAATATTCGATTCGCGGCGAAACCGAAATTTTGCCTACTTCGGGTGCGCGAATCGAACATTTCCCGATCAGCCGGCAAAAGTGTCCCTGCAGTGAGCTCCGCTATTTCTGACAGCTCTGACAGGAAAAA